ACATAGTAATGTAATTATTTAGACTTACAATGCAGCCAAGAGAATAGCAGAAACTGCTGATAATGCAAGTACTGCATAACCAGTGCTATACACTTCTTTGATTGTAAGGAACATTCCCATATCCCAAGCCTGCGAATTCAAAAATAAAGATTTATTCCTTTGCATTTTAAAAAAAAAAAAGTTATCTAAAAGATAATAAATTATCAAGAATGTATAAACGATATTTTACCAAGTGTCGAAATCCATTAAAAGTATGATACGTAGCAGGAAAAGCTATCATAGTTTTTCCTAAAAACAGGAGCGGAGTAGACAAACCTAAATTTTGAGTCATTTCAATAAGGCAAGGAATACCTCCAGGAATAAACAAAGTTCCTGTAATTAGAAATTGTTCATTTAACAATGAATGGTTTTCTATGTTTTCATTTTGAACAGAGATAACATAATCTTACCTAAACCAAGTAACATTGCATAACTTGATAATATCAATCCCGTTGTACGATGCGTTATTGACAAAAACGATGTTAACTGAATTTGATATATAGTCAAATGTGGTGACATAGGTCGCTTGAGGCGTGCATTCTTCTCATCATGAGTTTCACAAACCGTGCTTCCCATACACAGTGGTTTAGAAACAGCAACATTAAGTGGGCTATGTAATTTATTTCAATAACTGTTACTTCTACATTTTAATGTCACATGAAACTGTGAAAGCTAAAATAACGTTTACCGAAATCCTTTAAAATGAGATTATTTTGATATTAAATTTTGAACTGTCAAAATTTGAAAAGTGAACTACACGCGTAATTCGTACATAAATATAATTTATAAACTCTGAAATATGTTCAAATTTAAGTGACATTCAAATCAAACGAAGGGGTTATATATTATGTAACATGTCACCTGCAAGTGTATAAACTCCGAAAACTATGAAAATTGATGTTGCGTCGACATAGCAGCCTAAAAGAAATTCATTTTTATAATCTATATTATTTTAAATGGAATTAAATCAAATAAGTAATTAAACAACATTTCACTACCTCGTATAACACAACGCCATGTTTGTTTTATGAGTACTCTATAATTCAGCTGTAGGTAAACACGCTCGCAGCTGTATCAAATACACTTCTTTTTAATAAATCTGCATGTACAATAGGCTACAATAATCTCGTTTAACTTAGGGGAAAATTGTAGGAAGTCACCAACATTGACTACCCCTTCTCCGTCATAACGAGCTTGTATGAGTGTGCACTGATCTCTATGTCCTACACAGCTATCTATCATCTATGTAATATAGAGATCAGTGACTTCAACGGTTGAAGTTCGACCAACTTAACGCAGTAAATGTACAATTGAGCTGCTTGGGAACCCTAATTGTCGAATTGTCAGCAGTTTGTGGATTTGTCATTTATTATTACTACAATAGTCAGAAATTTACATAAATATTTTGAAACATATAATCAGTTTTTGCATATACACGTACACATATTCTATATGGCTGTAAATAAAATTACAATTGAAAACTGACTTCTTATTAATTTTATTTTGTTTTCGAAAAATGGTTAATTTAGAATTGTATAAAATCAAACTAGAAGAGATTCGCCAGTATGCACGTGAAAATGATATTTCAGAGTCTGAAATTGATACAACTTTACAAACCTCCTTTCGTATTCTCAAAAAAAAAGAAAAAAAATGTATATCTTGTTTAAAAATCATGATTTTAATTTCGTTTATGACTATTATATGTTTCCTATCTTTTGATTCGAGATTCTTAGCAGTTATGATAATGAGAAATTTGCAAAATTCTATTTATCCATCTTTGAAATTGCTTAGAAAAATAGCCATGCCAATAATTCAATATTATCCTTCTTTATCTGGTACGATCAAATTATAAATTATTTTAAAATAATGATATTAATAATAAATTTTAATAACCATCAATTTACATAGAATGCATAGATTGTTTGATAAATAATTTAATATAATATTTTGTAATTTAATTAGAACATAATTTGTTTTAACCTTCTTTCAAAACACAAAACTGTCTATAAATATAGAATAAAATATTAATAAAAATTATTAACACGTTCGCGGACGTGAATGCTATAGCATAAATTTTCATTGTAATGCTAAATGATACGAATGCCATTAACATTCATATTTATAAGCCACATTATTATGCATTCAAATCTATATAGTTTTTATTTTTTCAAATTATTATGCACTTTAATGTAATGGTTAAAGAATAAATCACCTGTTCATTTTTGTAGCTCATTAAAATTTGTACTATCCGCGAATGTGTTAACATTGATAAATATTAATTATTAAGTTATGTAAATATTTTAAGAGATATTTTTCAAAGATTGTTCTACATTTAGTTAAAACATCCACTACAAAATAGTGGATTAATATTAAAATATAATTTTATACACTACATCATGAACTGTGTGTTTTTTCGAATTTTTTTTTTATTTCTCTTTAGTTTAATATTAATAATTTTCTATTTTTATTTAATGAAGTATAACTGAGTTCTAAGGGCAAAAATTAATACATCTCATTCAGAATTTGTTAGTAGATTCTTAGTATCAAAGAAAGCACACTACATGAGTCTTTATAATTTATAAGAGAAAATCAATTCTAATTTTCATATTTATTTTTATATTCATATTTTTGTAGAATTTTATGATGAATGGTGTATATTGGAAAATCCATATTTCTATGTAAATGATATTGATTGTTGGCCCTGTAGTGTTGTACACTTTGTACCCGATTTAACTGGTCATCATATATCTAGATCCTTTAATCCTGGAATTCCATATACAAAAACAGAAAATCTATCAGAAATTCGTATGGAAAATGTACGACAATTATTTTGGCAAAATTTAAAAGTATTTGAAAAAGATGCTAGGAAAGTATTTTCTAATAACTTGACCTACAGGTAGTACACAAAAATTGAAACGAGAAGATTATTTAAAATAAAATAAATATATTGTTTTTTGAATCCTGAACAAATTGTTTCAGAAATGTTCACAGTATAATGGAAAGTAAAATGGATTTAAATCCTTCGAAGAACTTAGATAATCATATCACGTGGAGAATTAATCGCATGACAGCAGGGAGAATTTTGAGAAAATTATTTCCAAAGCCTGAAAGTACTCCAATTTGGTGGGAACAAAGTATGGAAAAATTTATTTTCTTTGATGAACAAAATTCTCCGCCTTATACTCTGGTAAGAGATTACTTCTTAGATATTTTCATAAGTTAAAAAATATTATTTGGTATTTACAAAGAAAATCCTCTGGCGCAACGCTAACTTTTTAATAAAGTTTTATAAAATTATGAGTTTTCAGATACTGGAGCTAATGATATATATATGTAGTTGTAAGTGTAGTTGGTTAATAGTATAAGAAACATTTAATGTTTTGGCATTTTTCATCTTCCAAAGAGTAAATAATTTGATGAGAATGTACAATAGCTATTAAGTTATTTTGAATGTAGGCATTACATACTTAAAAATATGTAATAAAAATTAAAAAAAAAACTGAAAAATCATTCAGGAAGAAATTTCAGCAGGTTTTAATCTGTATTGAAAGAACACAGGTTCAACAAACAAATACCTTATTGGTCGTATTATGTGCTCAGCTTAGTTAAACTAAATCTTCAAGAAACAAAGCATACAAAAATTTTAACATTAGTCTTGTACACTAATAATTTTCTACTCTCAAAAATCATATATGTATTAATAATAACAGTATTTGTAGCTCTGACGCTGCACAAAGCCCTAATTAAAAAGTGAATGACACATTCAGAGAATTCTTTTTGTTAGATACATGGAATCAATATTATTGTACTAGTTACTCAGATTATCAACAATATTCTTTAACAAATAGTTTCATTGTTACTAATGGTATTTGAAATCTTTATCATGTAACTTATAATTCATTATAGTTATTTTAGTTTATAACTATTAAAATTATATAAATCCTAAACTTTAAACTATTTTTATAATTAATAAATTGTATTTTATTAAATGACAGCCAAATCCCGAGTGCAGTAATGTAGTGATAAGATGTACGACTGGTGCCAGATTGATCAAAATGATATCAAGTCCAGAATGTACTGAATCCTGTAAACCCTTCACAGTATTACTATCCACTGGAAAAACTTGTATGTACCCTAATTTACAGTTAATTAGCCCCTGAATGTACATGCTGGTAATATGCATGAATATATTTTGTATGACTCATTTTTTATTAATTTATAAAAGTAAAATCTTATCTTTACATTTCATTTTAATCTTACCTTTTTATTATAATAATTATTCTTTCTATGTTGTTGAAAATGAAACTTATTATATTAACCTTAGATTATAATTTCATAATGATGAAAATTGATCATTTTTTTTATCAGAAGACTAAAAAACAAATCGTACGTTAAAGGGCTAAATAAGTAAATTAATTTCAAGTTCATGATGTCAATCTATCTTTATTCTTGATGTTGTATATTTTTAACAAACATTTTATTTATATTTAATTTAAGTTATTTTTTGCTGTAATTAATTGCGTGCTATTTAATATTCTTAAGACAATTAATTATTTAAATTACATTTTTGTTTCAGTGTGGTACAATTGGTGGTACTGGCGACCAATCAGCCTTTCAGCTATAAATACAACTAATGTTTCCATAAATTACATGACTTCATTTTGCTAAATTACTTTGCAACGTTATTTAAATTATTATTTTCTTTGAAAATAGAAGTTAATTGCGCATTAAAACATATATAACAGCAATTCAAATTCAGTTTGTCAAGATTTTATAAATCTAAAGTTTTGTTGATAAATTCAATAAATTGTTACAATAGAAATATAAGAAAGTTTATATGAAGAATTGATTAAAATAAATCTGAAAAGATTGAAAAAATCTACAGAATTAACATTTTTAACGTTTTCTTTTTATTAATTTTTAAGTAAATGTTTTTAAAAAATCCTTCATTTTTGCTCAAGGAATGTTTTTTACTGTTTGATTAATAACAATTTTTATTATATTGAAATTGATTCAACATTAACGATTGAATTGCAACTAAATTAATCTTAAATATTTTTGTTATATCTTTAGCTTCCTAAACACTTAACACAAATAAGTGCATTTTTTGAATAAATAAAATTTTATTCAATTTTTCCCTAAAATTTAATCTAACTTTTGTTGTAGTTTTTGCTTAAATAAAACAGGTACTAATGATAGCACTGCAAACACGCACAAAATTAGAATACTGTTCCAAGACCATGCGTCACTAGAAGAAGTTAAATTTTGCAGCGTCTGACCTGCTTGTATTGCAACAAAAGATGGGGGAGCAACTCCAAAAAATGTGCCTATAGCAAAAGGTGCAAGAGGTACTCCAATTACGGGACTAGCTAGATTGATGAACCAATTTGGTAGTAGTGGAGTTATCCGAAGAAACAACATATAATTAAAAAGGTGGTGTTTGTGTTTTTTTACTGTTTGCATCCATTCTTGTGCTTTTTCTGGGAAGTATCTAAAAAGTAGTTTACGCCCCAGAAGCGATGACAGAAAGTAACAAAGTGATGCTCCTACTGCACTGCTGGTACATACTAGAAATAAAGCTAAAGGAAATGGAAAAAGAAAGCCAGACAGGATTGAGAGGAAAATGGAACCTGGAATAGCAAAAGTTTGTAAGCTGAATTCATGTTAAGGAATTTTAGATTATTTTATAAATTACACTTATAAACAACTATAACTTAATGTTCAACTACGAAATGCATTCTAATAAATTTTGAATTATTCCAATTTTAACAAAAACTAAATCTATAGCATTTCATATTAACTCTTCCACTGTGGCATATTTTAATCAAAAATATACTCCTTATGCGACAAACATGCTCAGTTTCTTTAAATTACTTTGTCTCCTTAAGTCTTTGTAGACTTACAAATAAAAATCTTGGGTATAAGGCTATTATTTGATAACATATCTATATGTACACTATCCACAGCAAAAGGGTTAAAGATATTAAACGAAATATTTAAGGATACAAAATATATGTAATAAATAATCCAGCTAGTACTTGGAAATAATAGAGGTCTTTATAACGACTTAACAGTTTACCCAGGTTTTTAGCATCTTCAATATGTAATGGTAACTTCAAGTGTTGTCTTTCATTTCTGAAAGAATAAATAGCAAATTTATATGTTTCTATTAATGGAATGTGTTCATTTTTTCTTACTCTGCAAGTTCTGGAAAACTAGTATACACATAAAACATTGCCGATAATGAAGTAATAAAGATCACTGCAACTGTTAGAATAGCTTGCTTAGTTGATGCTTGTTTCAAGGAATCTGAAAATATGTTTAAATGTTTGTTAAAGTATTAGTAAACATTTGATAGTATTAAAATTAAAAAAATGTAAGACGTTTCGTTTGCTTTAGATAATGTTTTCAATTGAAATAGGTTAGAATTTGAAATAGGAGATAAATATTATTTATTTATGAGTATGCAAATTTTAAATTTGATTAATAATGAAAATGACAACGTTCGCTACATTTATTATTTTCATTTTTAATATTCACTTAACAATCGATTAAATTTTAAAATTCGTTTTAATAGAAAATAATAAGCACAATATTACTTCAAAAAATCGAAGATTACTGTCAGAAAAATATATTCTACAATAGTTTTCTCACCATCATTTTGCCTTACTCTACTTTCCGTTTTCATATCTGTATACTGACACTGTTCTACTATGAGTCAAATTCCCAGAAATTCAAGATGGCGCGGGAGTAGAAAAAAACGTTTACTTTTTCGTACAGTTTCCTCAAATTTAATAGTATATGCTCGATCCTAATTACATTTAATATTTAATAATTGTAACACGAACAACTCTGTACATGATTTTATACATTCCTTATTGGGTGTCGCGGTATAAAAGATTAGACCAGTGCAAACCAGTGTTACCAGATTGCACACCGGGTGCACTGGTGGGGACCCGATGCCTGATGGCTCGCTACGCAGTATTACCAGATTTACCAGACCCGAGAAGTCCCGAGAACCAGTGTGGCCAGATCGGGCATAATTGAGTGCATCGAAATCGACAACAGTGACGACGAACTTCCTTAGCGTCTAACGGAATGGTGGGGATAGCAGGCATACACTACCGCACGAGCCACGTGTACGTGAGCTCGGCACTTCGCACAACTTCGGCAAATCGATAAAGAACGCTAGTGTGAGCCTTTCCTTCTTGCTCTTGTAAAAGACAAAACAACTGAAATACGACCTCGCGATAAGCGGCATACGATTCCAAGCCTCGACTGCCCCAGCATTTTTACTTTCCGACCTATATGTAAGGTATAAGGAAATTTATAAAGTATTATAATGAAAAAAAATTATGAAATTTTTTTTAGCGGAAATACACGTTTTAGGACCCCCTGATCATATTGTGACTATTGAAAAAAACGATATTTTTTTTTGTTCCTATGCTATTAACATGAATGCATTAAACGACTAAGTGAATTTCAATAACGAAAAAAATATTTCGAAATTTTTTTTTAGCGGAAATACACGTTTTAGGACCCCCTCATCATATTGTGACTACTACAAAAAAACATATTTTTTTTTGTTCCTATGCTATTGACATGATTGCGTCTAAACGGCTGAATGAATTTCAATGAAACTTAACATTTAAGTTTTATGTTCTCGTTTTAAGGTCTCATTATATTTTAAGCGTGATCAGCTCCCATATAATGATGATTATACGTTTTTAGTTTTATAATTATTTCGATACATACACATCATTTGTAACAAATTTTTAAAGCGATTTATATAAATCTTAAGAAGGATTAAGATCAAATATATTTTTCTCCTATCTTTCCTAGACAGGAAAAATTAAACGAAATCTTATGCCTTGCATACCTACCTAAACCACATAAAAAACGTATTCCACAAATATTTTAGAATAATGTTGTTCAAAGCAGTCTTACTCGTAAAGGGTTAATTAAGGGTTAATTAAAATGAAAAACCACTCTTAGCCAGTACCGTGCACGCTACAGAAATAGATTACTACTGACTTTTCCCACTATGTTTTTTAATAACCGTATCAAATTGTTACACACAATCAAATGTTATATATTTGACTTAACTTTACATAACAAAATAATTGTAACGATAGGTAAAAGAATAACGTGCACGCTACCGTTCAATGGAAACCACGGGAAGGTGGTGGTCACTTCCATCAGGAGGGAAATGTAAAAAATTGTTATTTCTTTGTAACATTATCACATGGCATATATTAGAACGTCTATATTCTTCTTTCCTTTTTTTTTGATTCCCCTCTAAATTCATTTCTGCAAAATGAAATATATTAAATTGACGTCTATATACTGCTATTCATTCAATAGAACTTTATTTCTAATTATTGCCTTTTAAAAACCTATGGGAACTGTGCTATATATATCTACGTCCTTTCTTCGTCCGGGCATTTCAACGGCCCATCGATGCGCGAGCAGTATAAACAAAACACTATCGCCACGTGCTCGAGCCACTGCTGTTTCTCTTGAGTCAGTTGAATTCGGTCGACGAGGACGAACATCAGGACAAATTTAAAGGTACGTGCCGTAGGTCATTCTGAGATATTTAAATTGAAAAAAAGCTTTCGCGTAATTTCTGTAATTTTCTGTTCTTTCGCTTTTCTGCTTTTATATCACGGAAACGGTTGTGAAATTGAAGAATAAGTGTAAGCGCGGTTTTTTATCTTCATGGATAAATGATCATAGGTTTAAATCATGGATACGTGCAGTACCCCATGATAGAAGTCGTTTTTATTGTACTGTATGCAATAAGTCTTATTCTTGCGGTTCCTCAAACGTGTATAGACACGGAGAATCTGGGTGTCATAAAAAGAATAGTACTTCTAAAAGGACTTTTATGCCTCAATGGCTTGAGAATGATTATTTCAAGCCATGGTTGCATAAAGTCGACGGCGACCCTTATTCGTGGTTCCGTTCGGTTTGCAACAATCAATTTTCATGTCGATTATCGACGATTTATAATCATGCAGATTCTCAGTGTCACATTGGGAATTATAAAAAGAGTAACAATAACGCAGACAATTTGAATAATAATTTTACGACGCAATCCGAAGAATCGCCTCTGTCGTTGGATGAAAGGATAAAATCCGCGGAAATCAAATTTGCCAAATTAATAGCCGAAAAAAATATTCCGTATCGAGCCGCAGAGACGATTCTTGAAGTTTTCAAAGACATTGGGCAAGATCCTGATGTCTTGAAACATATGTCGTTCGGTCGAACAAAGTGTTCAAATATTATATCAAACGTTTTGTATCCTTCAGAAACAAAACGTATTTCTAGTGTTTTACAAAACACTAAATTTTCTATTTATATTGACGAAACATCCGACTCGACCAACGAGAAATGGATGACGTTTCTTGTTCGTTATGTTGCACCCGAGACTTTGGATGTTCGAACGGAATTGGTAGAATTATTACATCTTGATGCCAGAAATTGTGACGCAGATAATTTATTTAAAACATTCGAAAATGCCATGATAGAAAGAGAAATTCCGTTCGAAAATATTGTCGCGTTGTCATGTGACAACGCTGCTGTCATGACAGGGCGACACTCGTCCTTTATGACAAAGCTTGCAACAAAATGCAGGGACAAATTTTTGACTGTCAGCTGTCCGTGTCATCTGTCTGCAATGGTAGTGCGCGAAGCGTGCAATACCATTCCAGACATATGCGAGGAGTTGTTACGAAAAGTAGCAACTTTCATATACAGTAGTCCCAAACGTTCGGCTATATTCCGCGAATTTCAGCAATGTTTTCAAACAACCGACAGAAAAATTTTAAAATTGTGTTCTACGCGATGGTTATCGCATTATACATCCGTAGTTACACTTTTAGAGAATTGGGACTCTGTATTGCTTTTTTTGCAAGAATTGACAATAAGCGAGAAATCAGAGTCCGGGGAACGTCTGTTAATCTCGATGCAAAATCCAGAGGCCAAAGCATATCTTTATTTTCTAAATTACGCTCTTGAGTTTTTTTATAAATTTAACATTTTCGTTCAAACTCAAGAGACAAGAATTCATTTGCTTCAAAAGACTGCGGCAGAACTTTTATGCGATATATTACGCAATTTTCTGAAACCGCAGCTTTTGAAACACATGGATTTAGTAAGAATGATGAATTTTTCTGTAGTCGAAAATCAACTTCCATTTGATAGTATAAATTTAGGAACAGAGTGTCTTAATTTTCTGCATCAACTGAATGCAGAAGGCAAGTCCGACATCGTAGAAACCGTAAGGAAAAATTGTTTAATGTTTTATATTACAGCTGCAAACGAAATTCGTCATCGATTGCCAATCGATGACGAATTTCTTAGCATGTTGTATGTTTTTGAACCAACTTTTATATTAAATGATACAAATAGAGACATTTCCTTCAGAAATGTTCTCTTAATCGCTAAGAAATTCGGCGGTTTCGACGAAGAAGGACTGCAAACAGAATGGTCAGTATTGCCTTTGGAATTTACAACGAAAGGTAGACAGACGCTTATCGAGATGAAATTCGATGGTTTCTGGAAAACAATTTTATTAACGCGAAATTTGGACTATAAAATTAAATTTCCTGAATTGATGAAATTAGTAAATACAATTAGATCACTTCCAAATTCCAATGCCGATGCAGAAAGATTGTTTTCCATGTTACCTGACATAAAAACAAAGAAACGGAATAAACTTTCTTCGGCCAGCGTCAACTCTATTTGCGTTGTGAAATCTTCGTTAAAGGCGCAGAGGGAAAACTCTCAACCCATGGAGGTAGATGACGATCATCTAGCTCTATTGTATTCCAAAAATTTATATCATAGATTTGCTAAGAAGCAAAAGTGTAATTTAAGATTAAACGCAACATATGACAATAACTTTGAGAATTTTCCCGCTACGTCATATGACGAAAATTAAGGTACCGATTTACTACAGAGCTTTTCTCTAGAGAGATTTTTCTCTCCAGAGAAAAGCTCTTTAGTAAATTCGTACTATTAGGCTGCAATGACAGTATAAACGTTTTCATGCGACGTCGCGATAGACTGGTCTTGTTACGTCAACGGTACCGTGACGTAGGCGCAACAAGGTGTGATGCATGTATGTGCCATAACGTTACGCGATAGCGCTTACACTGCAACCGCAGTCTTGTTAGTGATGTCCAAAATATTTTTTTTTGGACATCGCTAATATGTAAATAGTCGTTCAATTTGTCTCGCGTTGTTACTTTTTTTACGTATTTCGCTTGCTGTAAATACTATTCTGCTTGCTCTAACTATCATTTTTTTTCTTAATTTATTTGCTTATATTTTGCCGTATATTTTTAGTTAGTGAAATTGCTTGCTGTAGATAGTGTGGCTATGACGTAGAATGTCGCGCCTTGTTACACTTACGTCACGGTACCGTAAGAGCAACAATGCACGACATAACGTGCCAGCTTAATCGCAAACGTCCTATCCCGACATCCCATCCTTTGGAAATGTAAACAATTATATCTTTTTTCCATTTTTATGGCTCGTGTGTATATTAATAAAAATTAATGCATTCACGAGTTAGTTTTTCATTATATTGTAATTTCATTACATTAATAAAAACATTTTAATATACGGCATGTGATAATGTTAGAAAGAAACAACAATTTTTTACATTTCCCTCCTGATGGAAGTGACCACCACCTTCCCGTGGTTTCCATTGAACGGTAGCGTGCACGTTATTCTTTTACCTATCGTTACAATTATTTTGTTATGTAAAGTTAAGTCAAATATATAACATTTGATTGTGTGTAACAATTTGATACGGTTATTAAAAAACATAGTGGGAAAAGTCAGTAGTAATCTATTTCTGTAGCGTGCACGGTACTGGCTGAGAGTGGTTTTTCATTTTAATTAACCCTTAATTAACCCTTTACGAGTAAGACTGCTTTGAACAACATTATTCTAAAATATTTGTGGAATACGTTTTTTATGTGGTTTAGGTAGGTATGCAAGGCATAAGATTTCGTTTAATTTTTCCTGTCTAGGAAAGATAGGAGAAAAATATATTTGATCTTAATCCTTCTTAAGATTTATATAAATCGCTTTAAAAATTTGTTACAAATGATGTGTATGTATCGAAATAATTATAAAACTAAAAACGTATAATCATCATTATATGGGAGCTGATCACGCTTAAAATATAATGAGACCTTAAAACGAGAACATAAAACTTAAATGTTAAGTTTCATTGAAATTCATTCAGCCGTTTAGACGCAATCATGTCAATAGCATAGGAACAAAAAAAAATATGTTTTTTTGTAGTAGTCACAATATGATGAGGGGGTCCTAAAACGTGTATTTTCGCTAAAAAAAAATTTCGAAATATTTTTTTCGTTATTGAAATTCACTTAGTCTTTTAATGCATTCATGTTAATAGCATAGGAACAAAAAAAAATATCGTTTTTTTTCAATAGTCACAATATGATCAGGGGGGTCCAAAACGTGTATTTCCGCTAAAAAAAAATTTCGAAATTTTTTTTTCGTTATTGCAATTCACTTATTGTTAGTCGTTGAGGAACAAAAAAAATGTCTTTTTTTCAATAGTCACAATATGATCAGGGGGTCCTAAAACGTGTATTTCCGCTAAAAAAAAATTTCGAAATTTTTTTTCAATTATGATACTTTATAAATTTCCTTATACCTTACATATAGGTCGGAAAGTAAAAATGCTGGGGCAGTCGAGGCTTGGAATCGTATGCCGCTTATCGCGAGGTCGTATTTCAGTTGTTTTGTCTTTTACAAGAGCAAGAAGGAAAGGCTCACACTAGCGTTCTTTATCGATTTGCCGAAGTTGTGCGAAGTGCCGAGCTCACGTACACGTGGCTCGTGCGGTAGTGTATGCCTGTTATCCCCACCATTCCGTTAGACGCTAAGGAAGTTCGTCGTCACTGTTGTCGATTTCGATGCACTCAATTATGCCCGATCTGGCCACACTGCCGAGAACTCCTCTAAGAGTAGTCCTATTTCCACTTTCACACACTACGTCAGATCACGTATACGTGAGCTCGTAGAGTTTTGGGAAAAACAAACTGACACTGACACTCGTCTTCTTTCTCGATTTTCCGAAGCTGCCCGAAGTGAGCGCGGATGCACTTCGCACTATCTCGAGGGAGTCGAAAAAAAAGAGAAATGTGAATTTTTCATCTCACTCTCTATACAATTGAAATCCGATTTCGCGTCAACGGCAAATAACTTCGAATCTCAACTGCCCAGACATCATTACTTTCCGACCTATACAGGCACATACAGGGTATTTGGCCACCCCTAGGAAAAATTTTAATGGGAGATTCTAAAAGCCAAAATAAGACGAAAATCAAGAATACAAATTTGTTGATGGAGGCTTCGTTAAAAGTTAACGTTTAAAGTTCCGCTCGTACTGGACTTTTTTTCTCGAAAATGTGCAAGATATCGGGGGTATATCTATTCATAAAAAATGATTGTAATTGACCCCTGCCGCCGAAAATTATTTCTCCAGAATGATTTGAAATTTTTAAATTTCGTTTAAAAATTTCAGTTCCTACTCGAATTTTTTCCTTAAAAGTGGGTAGAAATTCAGGGGTATGTGTATTCACCAAAAATGATTATAATTGAGCCTCGCAACCAAAAATAATTTTTTCTGAATGATTTGAAATTTTTTAATTTAATTTCGTAATAACTTTTTAACGAAGTCTCAATCAATAAATTGATATTCTTGATTTTCGTCTTATTTTGGCCTCTAGAATCTCCCATCGAAATTTTTCCCAGGGGTGGCCGAACACCCTGTATAATCAAAGTACCATAATTAAAAAAAAATTATGAATAATTTTTAAAAAGCATGGAAAATACGTACTATGATTTTGATTCTTTATTAATGTAAATATAAGGAATCTTTTACACATTTCTAACTCTATTAAATAATAAAGTGCCTCGAAATCTTGATAGTGCGTTTTGTAAATAAATTAAATTGATGAATAATATTTTGCAGGATATTATTCTAAAACATTTATGACATATGTTTTTAATGGGATTTAGAAAGGTATGCAATGTATAAGACTTCATTTAATTTTTTCTTTTTGTATAAAATTTAATTCTTCCCAAGATTTATACAAAACATTTCAAACATTTTTTTATAAATAACACCTATCTATCGGAATAACTAAAAAACAAAATCTCATATATAAGAAAAGTAAAAAAAATGGCTTTTCACAATAGTTAAAATGTAATCTGGAAATCCATAAAAAATTTCTTCGAAGTACGTGATATTAAACTAAACTGTCTTAAAAATTAAACAGTAATCGGAATCAGATTCTATGTATACATATTAATTACATTAAAAAGTTAGTTGGATTTCTGCATTTACATTAATCATTATCTAGTTTCAAGATTATTTTTAGTAATATTTTCTCAAGTTACGTAAAAAAAAGATGTAAAAACTTATTTCAAATATATTACTATTATTTTGTAAATATGCTCGAGTATAAAAACCAATATTGTATTTTACTGAACAATGTGTGAAGAATACTGATATGTAAATAGTGCAAAAGTAGATTCATAATAGTCATATAAAGAGTTTTAGCAAAATGAACTTCTGAATATATACTTGTAGCTAATTCAATCGCATTGTAATTATTCTATAAAAGCTATTATACTGAAAGTAAATTTTAATCTTTCATACAATAAATATTTAAATTATCTCAACATTTTTTTTGTCTCTAGAATAAAAATATTTATACCATGACATATCTTTTTTTAAATCTCACAATTTTTTTATAAATCATATTTTATGTTGTTAACAATATAGAATGTTTTGTATATCTGAAATATGTATGTTATCAATATATTTATATATTTTAAAGATATAACAAAATATTTACAATTGATTATGAAAGTTTATTTTTAGTTTCTTCAACATATATTTTTACTTGTTGTTCAAACTTTTGTCTGTTAAATTTATATTCTTGAGCTATATCTATCATTAGAGGATCATCAGGATTTGGATTTCCTAGTAGATGTTGTATAGCATCCAAAAGATTTTTCAAACCAATAGTAGGCTTCCAACTACCTTTAGGTGGCATGTTTAATAAATCCATACAAATACGGCCTTTATTATCAATGTTTGGATGATAAACAGGTGTCTTAAAAGTAATCCGTGGAGGTTCAAATGGATACTTCTCAGGTACATCAATTTCTAGTTCAAAAATGCCACCATTGTACGGGCTTCCACCTGGTCCTACAATTGTTGCGACAAGACTTGCAAAATTATTTGTCTTTGTATAACAACAAATTCCTTCTGTAGGATTACATTCTAGTTGTTTAAGTTCACGTTTTAATCTAGAGGACCTTTGCATTATGTTACCTTTAATAAGAAAATTTTATTATTTTAATTAGTAATTTCAATAATCATAGTCATACTTTCTCCACATTTGTTTCACATACGTTGAAACTTTAAAAACTTATAATTAACAGCAATGATGTTTTAATTATCTTTATCAACAAACTTGAACTTTTTTTTTAATTTCTTCATATTATATTTATAACATTTACCTGTTTAAATTCGTTTTAAATATGATTTTGTTTCAACTGTTTTGCTTCCAGTTGTTTTAGTTGTTATTTTTAATTTAATCTTTCGATTTGAATATGAATCAGTTTACACGAAACCACAGCCAATTCTAATACATATCAGTAGGGTGTAGCGATTTCAATGTTATTCCGCTAACTGGAAATCTAGCGCCATATATACATATGACATGTTCTCGCGCAACTTTAATACACCCTAGGGTACAGTGGGTTAAATAGATTTAGGCTATTTGAAAGTAAAGTCACCAGTCATTGAACTCCAATTACATGCAGGCATAGAGTAACATACAAGGACAACACTTTTGTTGAAATCTTTGATGTTCGGTATCCTAATTTCGGAGACCTTGAACCACTGATCTCTATATACCTGTGTTACGTCGGGATTCCGTCGGCATTGGTAAAAGAGAATTTCCCTAGACTTACTTGGCTTCAGAGATGCCAGAAAAGCACCGCCGGGTGCACACTCGCACATGCCAGATACGCGTACGTGAGCTCGTGGAGTTTCGGAAAGTCGACAAAGGCAAACTGACGCATGCCCTCTTTCTCGATTCTCCGAAGCTGCCCGAAGTAATTTCGGACCGCTTCGTGGGAGTCGAGAGAGAAAGGCTCATATTTGTCTTCTCGCTCTTAACAACTGAAATCCGACCTCCCGTCAACGGCATACGATTTGGATTCTCGAGCCGAGATTCTCGACTGCCCAGGCATTTTTACTTTCCGACCTATGTAGGCGCACATAAGCAAAGTACCCATAATGAAAAAAAAATGTTGTAAAATTTATTTTACGGAAATACAAGTTTTAAGACCTCCTGATCATATTTTAATTATTGAAAAAAAAGAAATTTTTTTTTATTCCCATGTATGAGCACACATATGTACATTATTAATACGATTTTTGAAAATCAAAATACTTTAAGATTGAAAATTAATAAATTAAAATGAGATTCCACTCTTTACCAGTATTGTGCATGTTGTGGCACTTTTCAATAAGAAGAGTTCTTACTTTTATAACATAAACAAAACAGTAGAATTAATAATTGCAGAAATTAATTAATAATGATTTTCCTCGATTGTTTTGAGATAACCGTATCAATTTGTTATGACGAACTAAATAGAACTAACTAGAAACAAAGGAAAAGTGATCCCGTTTGCCAGTTTAATACAAAGTATGGGTTGTATCTTAAATTTTAAAAGCACATAGTCGAATATTTTTAAAGGTACAAAACATAGCGTTTCATTGTAGAACAGTAACATAAGTTAGCAGGTAATGTCATAAAACTGTTTTTCTCAGCTATATCCCATTTTACCTGAAGTATAAGGTAAAAAGTACGAGCTACAAGGTACGACTATCCGAAAATCGTTCACATTTTATCAATGTAAATGAAGCGGCCTTTCCATCAGAGTTAAATACAAAATTTTGTAATTTCTGTGAAAACAAAACTTTCAGTAAATGTACGTGGTGCTTGAAATTTTTATGTTTTGACTGTTTTTGTGAAAAGTACCATCCAGATTCATGTACTTCGTACATTGAAAATAACATATGTTAAATGTAATCGGTTAAATTTAACTTTAAAAAAAAATATTCGAAGGTCAGACAAAAATATAATGTCATATTTAGTGTACGATTAAAATATGATTGAAAAAATAAAAAAAAAAAGTTCAAGCAGGGTTCGAACCAGCAGAGCAGAAGAAGTTCGGAACTTGCAGGCAAAGACCTCATCACTCACGCCACGCTGATTATTGGTGAACATAGTTCTATTTCTGAAAATAAGTACCTGTAATAACTTTAATAATATCTCAAAGTAAAACCTAACCCAAAACCTGGTACCATTCCAACTTTTCCTTGTTAGAAACGAGTTTTCAATTTGTCTTAGCGAAAATCGCAATCACATTTTGCACATTATTCTAAAACATTTGTGGTATTCGTTTTCAATGCGATTTAAGTAAGCATGTAATGTATAAGATTTCATTTAATGTTTTCTTTTCTAGAGAAGATAGAGAAAAAGTTTATATAATTTTTTTTATATAAAATTTAATTCGTCCTAAGATTTATATGAAACATTTAAAAGATTTTTTATACATTATGCCTATATATCGGAACAACTATGAAACAAGAGGTATAATCTGTAAGGAGTGTATGCGTGGCTAGGAGAACCGTTATCGTTTGCGTCGATAGGAGTGTTTAGTCTAAGCTAGAGTAGGTATCGAGTGAGGTGTTTAGGTTTAAGCTGAAATACGTTTTAGAGACTGCGTCTCGAACGTGCGTTTTGTTTAGATCATTATTATAAGATAGGAATAAGGAAGGGTCGACTTTGACTGCAGGAACGTCACTCTGTATCGAACGTTAGTCGAGAGCAATCACAGTTTTACGTTTATGATCTTTTACGTTTACGTTTTATGTCTTTCTTTTATGTTCTTTATGTTAAATAGTTAGTAAATATTAAATAATATAATTACATCGTTACGATTAGTGTTCACGTATTTGAATCCGTCCACACGCCTTTGAAATGAGAACATAAAACTTAAATGTAAAGTTTCATTTAAATTCATTCAGCTATTTATATTCAATCGTATTAATAATATACATATGTGTGCTCATACATGGGAATAAAAAAAAATTTCTTTTTTTTCAATAATTAAAATATGATCAGGAGGTCTTAAAACGTGTATTTCCGTAAAATAAATTTTACAACATTTTTTTTCATTATGGGTACTTTGCTTATGTGCGCCTACATAGGTCGGAAAGTAAAAATGCCTGGGCAGTCGAGAATCTCGGCTCGAGAATCCAAATCGTATGCCGTTGACGGGAGGTCGGATTTCAGTTGTTAAGAGCGAGAAGACAAATGTGAGCCTTTCTCTCTCGACTCCCACGAAGCGGTCCGAAATTACTTCGGGCAGCTTCGGAGAATCGAGAAAGAGGGCATGCGTCAGTTTGCCTTTGTCGACTTTCCGAAACTCCACGAGCTCACGTACGCGTATCTGGCATGTGGAGTGTGCACCCGACGGTGCTTTTCTGGCATCACTGTGCAGGTATAAACAATATAATGAATTATTAGCTTAAAAATTAAAATTACTTATTGCAACATTATACAAATTTTAATAAAATAAGTATTCACCGTTTGATTTGAAATAATTCGTACGAAAAATATTATTACAGAAAATATCTCAAAACAAACGATGTCAGTAAAGGTTATAAAACGCTTCAAAATGACGAATTCAGGAGGTAATGTTATACCTAAATTTCGTGATATATTTCCAGTAGTGGAAAAAGATATATTGAGATGGTTCCCTGGACATATGAGTAAGGGGTTGAAACAAATGCAGCAAGGATTGAAAAACGTAGATTGTGTAATTGAAGTTCATGATGCAAGAATTCCAATTTCTGGACATTTTGCTAATTTTAATAATACTTTAATTGGAATTAAGCCTCATATTTTTGTATTAAACAAAATGGATTTAACTGACATGAAGTTCAAAAAGTCTATAATAGCAGAATTAGAAAGAAGAGGAATACATAATGTATTATTTACTAATTTTAAAAATGAAATGTGTACTGGTGCTAAACAACTATTGCCTTTAGCAGAAACGTTAATTAAACAATCAAATCGTTACAACAGAGCACAAGAAAGTTCATTTGCCATAATGATTATTGGTGTTCCGAATGTAGGGAAGTCTTCGTTAATTAATCGTTTAAGAAGTAACAACCTTCGTAAAAGTAAAGCAGCAGCTGTTGGTGGAGTTGCTGGTATTACACGATCTGTATCAATGCGTATAAAAATATCAGAAAATCCAAATATTTATGTATTGGATACACCTGGGATTTTAGCTCCTATTATACCAGATATGTACACTGGTCTAAAATTAGCATTAGTTGGTTGTATGCAGGATCATTTAGTAGGACCAGAAATACTTGCAGATTATTTATTGTTTTGGTTGAATAAAAATAAACGATTTAAATATGTGGAAAAACTTGGCTTAACAGAGCCAAATGACAATATATTATACATTCTTACATATATTGCAGCAAAACAGGAAAAAGTTATAAAAAGGAAAAATTATGATGGAAGCATTATTATGAAACCAGATTTAAGATATGCAGCAGAGTATTTTGTTAACATATTTAGGAAAGGGGAGTTAGGCCACTATTGTTTAGATGTAGATATATTAAAATCACCAAGAGAACAAATTTCACAAAAGAAAGATTCTATATAAACATAAAAGTATTTAACATTTTATTATAATTAGATGAATATACTTTCATTGATATGTTGTTTATGTTAAACAATATTGTAAATTTGAGAACTGCAATATTTTAATATAAATTTCTATATTATTATACAAGTATGTGTAAATTAGAAGAATATATTTGGTATCATGTAATTATTTTTCTGTAATATGTTTAATATATAGATGTACAAAAATAGGAAATTATATTAAATCTAAAAAACAAAATTTTAATATTGATTATATTGATTCATAGAAGGATTACACGTAATTAATATGTTTACTGTGTTCATAAACAGGAAGGGATATAGCTTATATGTTCCAAAAAGTATTATAAATGTTAAAGTACAATTAATATGGACTGATAAATATAGATATATTTCAACAAGTATTAAATAATAATTAAAATTATAAGAACAATACAGAAATAGTCCTAAAAATATATATAAACTGATTACCTTAACTTAACAATCTTAAATTACTTGTTGACTGTTAGATCCTACATTATTGGACAAAAAGATACATGCAAATACGCGCGCGTGTGTATGTATCATACAAAATGAAATACAAATACGAAAGTGAATACATAGATATCAATTTTACTGTTTTTAAATATAATTGCATTTAAATTATCTTATATTTTCGAAAGGTATAAGTTCATGTTTTCACAAAGACATATGTTTCATTTAAAATAAATTGAATCTGACCTTCTACAAATAAAATGCATTAAAATAGGGACACATAATGAATATATATGTATAATATAGTGAATCTTTAAAAATTCATGGTATAATTTTAAACGTTAATTTCCTATATTTCATGGAATGTAAACATGTTGCATAAATTTAATTTACTACAGTTACAATTCTTGAAAAAAAAAAAAATAAATACTCTTAACTAAAGTTTTATTTTTATTTACTTTAAATAACATTTTTCATATTTAAAAAAGTTATAAACGTTGCAAATATTATTGTCACATAATAATTAAATAAATACGAAAATATCAATTTGATAAATAAAACATTAAAATTATTGTATACATTAAGAAAGTCGAACATTATAAGTCCCATTATGGTCCTACAATCTACAAGGTGATTTAGAATTAATGGTCCTGTAGCTATTCGTAAGTTCTAATTAAAATAAAGCGAAAGATGTTAGTTTCAAAGATTTAGAAATCTACAACTTTGAGTTATAAAAAAAATGTTTTTTCTGTTAAAACAGATGTTTAAACTATTTCCGTCCATTTTTACGTGTGTTTCTTGAAATATGCGCACGCAGAACAATGCCATTTCAACAATCGTATGATAAAAACAAATGACTTTCAAGATTACATTAAAAAGACTTTATTGACTTACAAAAATATCTCTTTATTGTATTCGCTAAGTAAACAGATAAATTTTGAAATTTTTATTAATCGACACCTTTAAATGATTAAAATATCGGAAATGGCAAACATTTTCGATTGCACTTCGGAAAATACTGATTTCTAAACCTGTTTATTAGCACTTTTTTACTTCAGCTAATGAATTTTATACACGGTCACCGCTGGGAAAAATTTTAATGGGAGATTCTAGAGGCCAAAATAAGACGTCAATCAAGAATATCAATTTCTTGATTAACGCTTCGTTAAAATGTTATTAAACAATTAAATTTAAAAATTTCGAATCATTTAAAAAAATTATTTTTGGTTGCTGGGGTAAATTACAATCATTTTTGGTGAATAAACATACCCCTAAAATTATACCCACTTTCGAGAAAAAAATTCGAGTAGGTACTGAAATTTTTAAACGAAATTAAAAAGTTTCAAATCATACTAAAAAAATTATATTTAATTACAGGGGTCAATTGCAAGCATTTTTGGTGAATAGACATACCCTGAAATCCTACACACTTAAGAAAACAAAAATTCCTTACCGAAAATCTAATTTGAGGCCAGAAATGATGGTTCCCCGAAATTTCATGCGAATCTTTAAAATGACATAACTTCTGAACGGATTGGAAGATTTTAATGTTTCAACCGGCAAACAACGCGTATTTTGGTGTAGAATATATAGAAATTCTAACAATAATGAAAAAGTTGTTCCTTGACCTCGTGAAATGAGGAAAACCACATAAAAATGATCCAATTCCCACACTTCCATCACACCTACAATAGTGAATATATTTCATTGAAATTTTTTTCTGAAGTAGAGCTCATGGATACCTACAAAAAAGTATTAGACAAGTTTTCTGTAGGGCATCAAATAAAATTACTAAATATCAAAAACGAATTTTTAAGAAAAATCGACAGAGGTGCCTAAATTTTTCAACGAAAAAAAAATTTCAAATCGTTCTAAAAAAAATATTTTGCTGCAGGGGTCAATTACAATCATTTTTGGTGAATAGACACACCCCCGAAATCCTGCGTATTTTCGAGAAACAAATTCAGTACGAGCGGAACTTTAAACGTTAATAACTTTTTAACGAAGCCTCCATCAACAAATTGGTATTCTTGATTTTCGTCTTATTTTGGCCTCTAGAATCTCTCATTAAAATTTTTCCCAGAGGGGCCGAACACCCTGTATATGCTCCAAGTCAATGAATTTTCGAACACCCTATGTATCATAAGTACTGTTACTTTTACTTAGCATTACTACTTTCCACAGTAGTAGACTCATTTCTTTCTTCGAATACTTTAGCAAATAAAATTTGAAACATATTTTTAAAGATATACAGGGTGTCTTGTTTAAGTGAGTACAACAGGATATCTCGGAAGGAGTTGTAGTTATTAAAAAAATATTTGTTCAAAAATTGTTTGGTAGAACGGGCTACATCATTTAGTACTAATTGTTTTCTTGTGGGTGAAGTTGAGGAGGAAATCTATGCTATATCTTGTTCTTCAAAAAGTAACAGCAGGCACTGAAACAAAACCAAAGAGGTGCTATACGACATTATTTTAAGTTCGATAAAAGTAAATCGGTATCTTACGTTGACGTTCTGGATCAGTCGGGGGCCGACAGCCAGCAGCCGCTGCTATGTAGCGTAAAATTCGTCCGTATTAAATAATTTCTCACGCGCTTCTTTCATTAATTCGCACATGTTCGATAAATCAGTTTAACAATAATCCTCAATTCCTCTTTATGATATCATAATTGCAGTAACTTGATACGAACGCAACCAACGCTGCTCAGCAGCCGCTGCTGGCTGTTGGCCGTCGACTGATGCAGGACGTAAACATAAGCCAACAATTTACCTTCATCGAATTTAAAATAATATCGTATAACACCTCTTTGGATTTATCTCAGTACCTGCTGTTACTTTCTGAAAAAAACAATATAGCATTCCATTTAAGAAAATTAGACTCCACATGAAAACAATTAGTACTACATGATATAGCCCGCCCTACAAAACAACTTTGGTACGAACATTTTTTTAATAACTACAATTCCTTCTGAGATACTCTACTGAACTCACTTAAACAAGACACCCTGTATATGAAATGGTTACGAAATAAAATAAAATTTTATACCAAATTGAGGTGTTGGAACTTAATTTGTAATTTTTGAAATTGTTAAAAAAATTTACAAGATTTATTTATGAACTATAATTGTAGAAGCGATGTTTGCCAGATTGACATTTTATCCTTCGCTACTTTATAATGTATTAATGGAAAAAGTTTCGTCGAGAAATTGGTACAACAGAATTGACGAGGTTGTAGTATTAGGTGCTTTGCCGTTTCGAAGTATGACCAAGCAGGTATGTAATTATGCGTTGTAAATATGTATTTATAAATTTATTGCCGTTTGTATCTTAATTAATAGTAACGATATTTAAACATATATTGGATTTAATATATTTTTTAATTTATATTTGGCAAAGTATAGTCATAATATACATGGCGAAGTATATATATTAATTATCTAAGAAGAACTGTTTAAAATTTTAGTTAATAAGTGAAGAAAATATCAAAGGTGTTATTTCAATGAATGAAGACTATGAATTACGATTATTTTCAAATACTGAAAAGGTATGAAATAATTAGTATATAATTTTTAATAGTATGTCTATTTTAAACTGTTTAATATAGTGTGTATATTTTTTAGGAATGGAGAATGAATAATGTAGAATTTTTGCAACTATCAACAACTGATATTTTTCAATCCCCTTCACAAGAAAAATTACAGTGTGGTGTAAACTTTATCAATAAATTTTGTAGAACATCAAATGAATTAAATAATTCTAATTTCCCTGATAAATGCAACTCCCAAACTGGTAGTGTTTATGTACATTGCAAAGCAGGAAGAACACGTAGTGCAACATTAGTTGGATGTTATTTAATGATGGTTAGAGAATGGAATACATATAAATCATATTTTTTAATGAATTTTCATGTAGTCATTAATACGATTAAAAATAATATATTTTATAGAAGAATCAATGGACTCCAGAGGAAACAGTAGCATACATGAAGAAAAAAAGACCCCATATATTGCTGCATACAGCACAGTGGGATGCTCTAAGACTATTCTACAAGAATAATGTAGAAAATACAAAGTTATAGAAATAATAAAATAATTGCTATAATTGGGACGAGATTATATCATTATTTTGTAATAGTAAATAAATGAAATGATATTTTAAGAAATTATTATTTGCAAATTGTATTCAATCTATATTAATTTGCACAATAAGATAAAAAAAATCAATGAATACAAGAAACCTAATCAAATATTATTACAACATACTTTTACAAAATTTATTTTTAAATTAATAAATATTTACAATATAATGAAATACAGAATTTACATTTTCCTTGTATGTATAGATGCAAAAGCTTTAGCTTGCTCAATTGCTTTGTGTATTAAGGATTCTTGTAAGGTATCTGAAATACTTGTAGTCGCCATACTAGCAATTAGAAGTGGATTAAAACCTTTAATCGGACCATAATCTGTATTAAAAATATCAAGAAGTACTTTCATCCATACTTGTGCATTAAACATTTCAGACGCAATTTCCTGTAAAGAATAATTGAATATTAAATGTGAAGAATTTATCACTGAAATTTAGAAGAATTATTCGTCTATATTTATCGTATACCTGAGGTACATAACATCGTGCTCTCACTGTTCCATTGTGATATAACATAATCAGTGTTGGTATATTTGTATAAAAAGATACAATTTCATGAAGGGATAAATACATGGGATTTTGATATAAACAATGAACGATAAAGATATTGGTTGAATTAGTTATACCTTTTATATCCATACTTAAAGTAGACCTTTGAAATAATATGTACGTATATATAAATAAATAAATAAATCTATTAAACATTATATTAAATACCATAAAAAATAATTCAGTAAAGGCATACACAGTTTGAAGAAATTAACTTGTATTAGAGAAGAAACATTTGTCAATAAATTTGTCACGCAATATTGGAGAAATTATTTAATTTTTTTTTAATCAGAATATCATTTAAAAAGTTAATTTGTATGCTGATTCGTTTAGGAATTACTTTTTAATACTATAAAAGAATTAGCTATTTTGCAATATACAAAAGTAAATTTATAAACTCTAAATATTTTAATGTCACCACAAATAAAGTACTATACTTACTTTTCTATTTCTTTTGCTTGCACCCAAGCATTTTTATTTAAATCATTCAATTTCGTTAAACATTCTTCTTTAATAAGATACGGTATTGGCGTTTTTCTATCATCATTAGTTATATCATTTTTAATTTCTTGACTTATTGTTTTGAAAATATCATATGCAAGTTTTTCAGTTTTCAATTTTTGTTCCAAATTTAATATTTTTCGTTGTACATTTTCACCTTCCAATTTAGCAGACATAGCAAACGATCCTACAGCCGCTTTAATATTCAAATTTGCTGATCCTTTTGAAAAATAATTTAGCAAACAAAAATGTTTCAATAATCCCGTATTAGGTACATGTGTGCCACAACATGCTTCTCTAAACAAAATTTGTAATATCAGCTGTTGCTAAAAATAAAAATAAATACAAAGAGAAGTAATCTTTTATATATAGTTATTTTTTCACTACCTACTTTGACTTTAAGTTATTAGAGTAAATTTCCACAATTCGAATTCCTGTATAGGGGTAAATTTCTCCTGGTATTAATGTTATAAAATCCTCGGATAATAACTCTAACGAATTCACGATTTTTGTTGTAACAGGAACATCAGCCTGTATGACACTATTAATATTATTCTCAATTTTTTTCAGTTGTTCAAAAGTAAGTTTCTCCTTAAAAGAGTTAAACTGAAGTTTCAAAACATGTGAAGAAATATGAGAATTTCGTGAATAAACTGCTTGCATAATTTGCTTTAACGATGCATTTAACAAATGTGCCCCAGTATGATGTTGCATTATTCCAATTCGAACTTCTGGATTAATAGATACAACACAGCTGTCACCAACTTTTAATTTTTCATTTGAATATCTAAATACAAAATTTGTACAATCATATACTTTTTTGTCCATTAATAAATTCTATGCAATTATTCAAAAATTATAATAAATACATACTTCGAATCACTTTGTGCAAATTTTCCAAAGTGTATAACATAATCGTTAATCTTTCTCACATTAATTATGTTGAAAATAAGATCTTTTATACAAATAATACCATTATCTGATGTTTGGCCGCCCTCCATTGAATAACATAATGTTTTATCTAATATAATTCCAATTTCATCTTCTTGATCTGATTTCGTATTAGAATCAACAATTTTCTTCTGAATGTTTGAAACTGTTTTTTCATTTGTAATTTCGTTCTCTCTATTTAATATCAAATTACCTACAATGAATTAACAATATACATTTTCTATTGATTAAAACTTAATTGGAATTAAATATGCACAAGCATCAATTTTTACCATTTACAATCAATCCCACAATTGTACTCGCAATCGTAGGAAATTGGCAATTATTTCCATTGAAAACATACTCGTATTTAAAAGTGTCATCAGTTTTAGGTATTTGATTTTTTTCAAGTAATTCTATGATTTTTTTTGCAAGGGTTTCACTACTTTTTTCTAGCCCAATTTTTGATCGATACCTAAGATTCTGTAACTTGTCTTGGAAAGCTTTTTCATCAAAATGTAAAGATTCAATGTTCGCAAGTTCTCTTATTGTTTCCGCACTTAAACCATATGAATCGTGCAAGTTAAACGCAACATCTCCTGATAGTACTTTGGTATCTTTTCTGTAATACCAAAAGGTTTTTAAGAAATACGTATTTTCTAAATTTGTGTTAGCATGTCCATAATTATATTTGCTGGTACTTACAAATCTTTAAGTGTATGCTGCAGGTACTTATATCCATTTAATAAGCCAAAAGACATCCAGTCGGTGACTGCTACCAGGTCAGGACGTATTTCAACCATTTTTTTCCAATCTTTACCACAAGTATTTTGTAATCTTTTAAATGAATCTTCTTCAAATTCTATTATCTTCTGGACCTAGTTACAATTGTATTACAAAATAAATTATAAAATCTTTTGTTAGCACATTTTATATTACCTTTTTAAGATTAGTTTGTAACTCTGGATAAACATCACCCAAACTGTCTGCTACGGCATATGAAAGTTCCAAAAGTATCCCTTGCTTCTTAAATGTATTCTCACCTATATCAATTGCTTTTCTTATTATTTTTCTAAGCTTATTACTGAAAATGTTATTAACTATAATAATTCATGACAGTGACTATATTGAATAAGTAGATCAATGCCCTTGTACCTTTCCTCTGGTATCATTCCATCTGCTAATGCTACAGTGATCATTCTACTATGATCTGCTAATATTCTGTATCCACTGTCAAGCTTACTTTCATCATTATGAAATTGTCCTTTATATTCCGGCGTTTTTGCAAATTTTTGAATAGCTTTAAAAAGTGGTTGGAAAATATCTGTATCATAATTTGATTTCTTTTCTTGTAATAGAGAAACTAATCTTTCAAATCCCATGCCTGTATCGACATACTGTTTCGACAATGGTACTATAGTACTGTCTGTTAACCTAATATAGAAAATAGAAAAATTAATATTTAAAACTATATAAGTTTAATAATTAACGCATGAAGTTAATCATACAAGGCCCATACACAATTGAAGTTTACAAGTTTATTTGTGGGCAAATTACTTTTTGCATTATATTACAAAAATGTTAGTTCACATAATTAAAAAAAAGTTTCTTTTTGTGTTATTTATTATTTATCGCATACCGTTCATATTGTATAAAAACTATGTTCCATAGTTCTGTCAGATCTGTATAACCCTTGTTAATCCGCATAGATTGATTTGCTATTTGTTTTGTATGATCTACATGTATCTCTGTACAAGGACCACATGGCCCGGAAATACCCATTTCCCAAAAATTATCTTGCATACCAAATGGTAAAACTTTATCTTTTGAAACGCCAATACTTAACCAAATATCTTTACATTCTAAATCTGGTTTTAATCCTAACTCTTCGTTCCCACCAAAGTATGTTACATACAAACAATCTTCTTTAATTCCATAATGTTTTGTTAATAAATCCCAAGCATAACAACAAGCTTCTTTCTAAAATATTAAATTTATATTTAACACTCTACGTTTCTAAAATTTATATTCAAAAGTGTAATCTGTAAGAATATTTAAAATATTTTAAGAAAACATAAGTTAGTTACCTTAAAATAGTCTCCAAAAGACCAATTCCCTAACATTTCAAAAAATGTATGATGATAAGTATCATTTCCAACTATATTTAGATCATTGTGTTTTCCACTAATTCTAATACACTTTTGTGAATTCACAACTTTTGTTGTAGGTGGATCATAATAATCTAAGAATATACCTTTAAACTAAACAGAAACAAAAAAATTTAATCAGTAATATTTGTTATAGATACATTAAAATTTATGAAAAGTAAACATCACTCTATGATAGATATAATATAAAATTATAAAATCTATGCATACTTGGTTCATGCCAGCATTAACAAATGCAATTGTTTGATCGTTAAGTGGCGTAACAGGACTTGATCGAATAAAAGTATGTCCCAAATCTTTTTTAAAATAATTCAAAAATTCATTTCTAATCGACTTTGCACTTTTTTTAATTGTATTGGAGGTACTGGAACTGTACGGCCGTATCAATAACAAAGAATTCATTGTGTAGAAATGCATTAATATTTATTTAAAATTTTCCATAATATCAAGAAAAGTAAATTGCTAAATATACTGTTATATATTTCTATCCCACTAAATAAAAAAGTTCTATGTTCATTAAATAATTGTTTCACTCAACAATTCGAACACTTTTTTTTTAAATCATTTATAGATTAAACTTATGGGATTGCATGTAATGATAGAGTGCATAATGACCAAGAGAGCGAAGACGATCATGTACAATACCATTACTGTATAACAAAACACGACACTACAAGTTGTAATTTGTAACAAACCTGGTCGCGACTGGCTCGCCATCTCTCTCTCGCCGTGATACCGACGAGGGCGCCACACATTTCAAAATAACAGAGCTTACAGACAGAGCCCTCTCTAAGGCCGGAAGCGGGGGTACACCGGGCACATGAGCGTCGATGTGCGTTGCGACTTGCGACGGACATCGATTTCAACGACCGTTACAACTCCAATCATACAAACGTTGCTACTTTTGTGTCAATTGGCCAAGAAACGGCAGGAAATTTTGTAATAAGGACACATATTTCATTCTACGCTGCAAATTTTTTATTTTTGTCTTTGTAGTCCTCGTCAGAGGTATTCCATAATAACTCTTTTTTGAACTTCATGATTCTGTACCAATTCAACTCTTTTTTGGACTTCAAATTCTGTATCAACCGTATTACGGTTATTTTGCGTAAGGTATGAAATATAAAGAAATAAAGCTGAATGTAAAACTGTCTATCACGATAGCCACCTAATAAACGACAGATGGTACGCCTCGTGTGACTTGTTGCATTTCTCGGTATACAATGGAAAATGTGCGTCGACGTATCCCAACGTGCGTGCGTTCTAGCATAAATACGTAGATGAAAAATCAACGCACGTTGCAATGGATGTTGAAAGCGACGCACCTTCGTAGGATGTGGTCTCTAATAACGACAATGTATTTCTACAACGGACGTTGTAACTTGTAACATCAGTCGCAACACACGTCGTTTTAACGCTCGTGTGCCCCCGGCCTTAATAAACACAACCTAAAACTTGAACCTGTATATTTAAAATGTTGAATTATAGAAGTATTTAAACAATACAGATTGTCTGTTTTCCTTCCTACCTTTTCATTTTAATCATTTACATTCTCCTATAAATAGAATCTTAAAACATATACACAGGAATTTTTAATAAAATGCTACAAAATATGGACTTATTCGTTCTATTCTTTAACCGTTTACATATTTATCTTTATTCTTTTGGATTTGGTATCTATTGCTTCTGTAAATCTATTGATTTTATAGAAATATGCATAAATATTCTGTAATAGAAGGTTACTTAATGGTTATAGAATTTAAAATAATTATAAAGCGTTTGAAATGTAGGTTCATTAGAATGTTAAATGATACACCATATGTATTGATTTTTAAATATTACTGTAATGTGGACCAGGAATACTAGTAACAAAGACAATTTAACAAGAAGACTCCGTGGCGCAACGGTAGCGCGTCTGACTCCAGATCAGAAGGTTGCGTGTTCAAATCACGTCGGGGTCATGTTCTTTTTCCTTTTTGTTATTCCCTCATAAAAATGTATTTTTCCGAAAAATAAAGACAATTTATATATAAATTAAAATATTATTACAATGTAACAAATAATACATTGATTGATATTCTCGAATTTCTAGCTGGACTGAATATAACCTATTTTACTACCGTCATATTGAGTACACATTATTTATTGATACCGATGTTCAAGTGTTCTATAACAGTCTTTTAAGATAAGTTTTAATATTTGTGGTAGCAATAACAATATACCTATTGGGTTCTGAAAACATAATTGTAGAAACAATATTAGATAAGTACAAGCGAGACGTATACGTTGCCTAAGTGTTAACAGAAAGAAAATGGGTAAAGAAAATGATTCTGATAATTCGAAAAAAAGAAGAAAATCGATTAGTGGAAATTCTGGAATATCGCTTAAAGAAGGAGATATGTATAAGGTATAAACATTTATTTAAAGCAATTCTTTTCGATAGTAAATCAAATTTTTTTTTAAATATCTAGGTTATAATCAGTTACGAAGAGAAAGAAGCTATAGAAAGATTGCCGGAAAATGATTCTGAGAGTTTTCTGTCGACTTGCGACAGTATACGTAAAGCCATGAATAAAATAGCAAAACTGAAAATCAATGGAGATACGAATGTTTGTATTTTGATCAACAAAATCTATACTTCATTAAAGTTACAGTAAATTGTAGAATTGTATATTTTCAGGCCCAAGATGAGATACGTGAACTTCAAATTCAGACGTCATTAGCATTTATCGAACTTAAGAAATTAAATAGAATGGAAAAGTTTCGAACAAAATTTGCCAGAGATTCTCTTATATCCTCCAAGAGCAGTGTCGATAGTAGGCATTTACATTTACAAAATTTATTATATGAAGTGATGCACTTAAAGAAAGAAGTTATTAAATGTCTTCAATTTAAGTAATTGTCCCCTATTCTGAATATTTTATACAATTCATTTTCCATGTGCTGAAATAATATAATCATTCGTAGGTCTAAAGATGAATTGATACAACTTGTATCGGAAGAAGAATTTCATAAGCACGCACCTGAAAATATTTGTAGACCAGTATGAAAAATATTAAAACTATTTAAGATGAAATGTAATACTTGTCTTCGTCGTATTATAAGTAAATATTTTTAGGAAATAACAAAACATAATCCTCATCAACTAAGATTAGCACGTTTAGAATGGGAATTAACGCAGAGAAAACAACTGGCTGCTCTGTGCGATGAATTGTCAGAAAGTAAAAAAGCAGTAGCCTCGAGCATCGAGTCTAAACAATCTCGACTAGATAATCTTGCACCACAGCTTCATTCGATTTTAGAAGTAATTGTTTATACTTTTATAATATAATACTATTTCAAATAATTAAAATTAAAATAAATATTCATTTTCTAGGCAAGCAAACCGCTTCAAGAAAGTCTTGGTTTACCATTGGACAAGATCAGACAAGAACATCATAAAGCAATGTTACTTGCATCACCATTGTATGTTCTTTATGCAAAAGCATCTGCATATAGAGATGCATATGGTATGCTTTATTTTGTTAGAATTATACTATCTTTACATAAAAGAATGTAAACAAATTTCCGACGTTTTTTGTACAGAGTAACTTTCTAAGAGTCTTACTATCTTTATAGCAAAGATAAGGAGTCAAAGTCTGGTGAAAATTGTTTTGTAAAGATAATAATTAATATGACAAGTCCAATGAAATTTAAGAACATATTCACCTATAATCTTTCTTATATAGATAACACTATAATAGTAAAAGTGGAAGGTGACGAGGAAGAAGCAAAACGTGCAAATAACCAAGACGGATTGCAAGAATCTGATTCAGATCCAGAATTTTTATCCGAAAGTGTCATAGAAGAAATACCTGTACATAAAAAGAGGCATCATAGATTATCTAGAGAAGCTAGACAAGAAGAAAAGAAATCAAAGTTATTACAGAGACATCCTTTAAACGTGAAGATAGTTATTAAACTGAAAAGTTAGTATCGAGAATAATTAGTGGTTATAAAGATTAAATATTTCAAAACTCTAATATTTTCAGATGAAACGAAATTAACGTTACAGTTTTTTTATATAATGTTTCTGAAAGTGGTTACTGTAGAATCAAGATTAAAAACTGAAGGTGTTGGAGGAATTAGCACTGGGTATAGAATATTTTCAATCGATAACTATATAAATATTTGTCACTTTCTAAAAATCTTGAAATTTTTGTTGACAGAGACATGCTCGTATCAGAATCAATTTTACGAGAATTGTATCCGCGGGATTTAGGATTGGAGAGTCCAAATCCTGCTAATTACTATCAATTAAGCCGACATAATTTGGGTCAGTTTTCGACGCTTGGATTGGGGATTCCGTATAAATGGGCGCAAAGAATGGCTGGTTTGCATTTTATTTCATCTGATATTCGTGAACAAAAAGTACGAAACTTTTGATGCAGTATCAAAAAATATATCTCATATTAAATTATTTCAAAGTACTTTTAATGTATCTAATTATATAAATTATAGTACACAAGTTCCGAAGTAACACAAGATAGCGTCGACAGCGTACTAAGAGAAATTAAAAGACGCGTAAAGGCAAGGTTGGAGTTGTGCACAGAAATCCAGCAATTAGAGTCTGGAAATTTGCCAATTTTTACTACTGCAATTGATGCTCTGCCCCAAAAACTTAGTACAATTTTACAAAAATTTACAACAATATCGTGGAACAGTTATTCCACTTGCACTAACCCTGCCTTCCAACAGCAAGGAATAGTGTCTTCGCTGGACATATTTTATGAGGCTACACTTCGACGAGGGAACAGTAAGATATTCTTAAACTATTTAATATATATAAATGTTTATTGCATCGTTTAATGTACAATATCTGTTATAGATGAATTAATTGCAAGAATAGCTATTAAGCCAGATTATCCAAAAATTGCACCAGTATTTAACATTAGCGTAAGTCCTATGGTACCAGCATCTGTAGATATATTGAGAGATATTGAAAGAGAAGTGAACGTCATGTGGATAAAGCCGCCAACGTTGTCTGCACAACTACAACGACTAAGAGCATGTTTTGATATTTATTTGGAAACAGAAAGTATGATACCGAAAGAAAAGATATTTTTCCATCCTGTAAAAGGTCGTACCCGTGCCAGACCTTATAAATATTTAGAATTAGGCGGAGGAATTTTTATTCATCGATAATTCGATATAATACTGAACGACACACAAATGCATTTATATTTTCGAATGGGAACACCATTTGACAACTATTTGTAGTCATGAAAACTAATTCTAATGTGCAAACAGCTTAAATTGAATTCAAAGCAAATGAAAACATTGCTGGTACCCCAGAGACTGTTATAAGATATGTTTGTAACTTGTATCTTAATTTCTCATTCTTTGAACACAGATTTTTACACTTCTTTTCCAACAAAATGTTGTTTGCTGTCATATGATTATACTGTTCCCAAAATATATCAATTTTATTAAACGAGCTGGACGTCTGAAATATTTTATTTATTTTAAAATACTATTAAAACATTTTTGTACTATACCTTATACTAGTGTGAAAAGAGTCGATATATACTGTATCTTCCATAGAATATTTGTTTAGATTAAACAGGAATGGTTCCAAAGCAGAACACATTGCAATTATTTCAAGGATTATGGAACCCGTTTTCATACTTTTTCGCAATTTCTACAAATGGAAAAAGAATACTGTTTTATATAAAGAAAACTATGATACGATAAAATATTTATTTCTTACCAATAAAACATCGTTGCCAAGAACAATCAATTTTTTTAATCGAGAATAATCTACTACTTGAATTGCAGTAAACTGTTGTTTAATATTTTGTATCTTCTTCTTTATATTTGTATCTTTCGCTTTATGTTTCGCAATTTGCTCTTTTCTCTTAAACGATAATATTTCTATATCGCGTTTTAAACTTTCAACAACATTTTGTAATTGTAAATGTACTCCTGGATACTGTAGAACATGCTGCTGATGAATATTTTCTTGTTCCCTTAAATACTCGTATTGCTTTTTTTTATCCTTAGTCATTCTTTCATATTCAGTCAGTACTTTATTTAACTGCACCCAAATGTTATCCATATTTACAAACGATTGATATACTAGATTCGATGCCACATTGTTCTCCTAATATATAATAAATTTATTTTTTAAACATTGTTTGAAAATTTACTACCACGTTCTAAGTTAATTTTATTACCATAAATAAAACATTATGAATGTTAATAGCATTCTGTGTCTTTGTTATAGACTGTTCATTGCTTAAATTATTATTCCTGTTATTTATATTGTTTTGAATTTCTTTGTAGTTCTTGTTCATACAATTTTGTAAGAAGTTTAATTCAATTAAGTTATTTGACTTGATGTTATCTAACTTGTAGGTATCGCGTAAATTTGCTAATTTCTCTTTGTATTTTGCTATATTACATTAAAAAAATTAATTGTATTCATATATTTATGAATAGTAATACAAAAATTAATTATTGTGTATAGTTTTATTTAAAAAATACCAATTATATCGTTGATTAAAACAATATGAGCTTCTTGTAGTTTCCTATGATCTTCGTCTGCTATTTTTAAATTGTCGTGTAATCGACATATTATTCTATTCTTTAACTTTACCACTCTATCGAAAGATTCGCAAAGGTTTTTTACATTATCATAAATTTCCCTAGACTTTATTTGTCGTAAAACAAATCTCCATTTTTCATTAATCTTGGCAATATTTAATCTAGAAAAAACTTCTTCACGTTTCAATTTATTCTGTAACAATTTATTGTTAAAAACATTTTAATAAAACGTTAACTTAGTCTTAATAAATTGCTTAATACTTTAGTAAAAGTTGCAATTAATTGCTGTTTGCGTCTTCTTGCTTCTAATTCAGATTCAGCACGACATTGCATATAACGTGCACGTTCTTCTTCGTTCATTTTGGCAAGTTTATTGCCTTTGGTTTTTCGTTTTCTTATCATTTTCTTATATAGTGAAGAAGAATATGTATTGATAGAAGAAACCGTTCGTCAAGAAGCAGCACAATACAAATTTTCAAAAATACTTAATTAATAACTTATTTTTTATTATATAATACTCAAAATCATTTGTTATTTGTAGTATTTTAATATTATTCCAACAATACAAGATGTGCCTCTTGTCTTATTTATATCTAATATGTTTGATCAATACTGTTAAGGAAGAATATACATTTGGAGGGGCATACAAACTGGTAAAATTAAAACACTTTTCAAAGCTTTGAGTTTTGAATATATGATGATCGTTCTCTGTACAGCTGTAGAACCTACAAATGTACTCATAAAAATACTGAAAGTAATATAAACTCTTTCAATGGCCATAGTGCAGCTATATGTCATTTTTGAAGTTATTTTCTAAAGTAATTTATTTAAGCTTCGTTATTATTTGGATTAAAATCGTTTAAATGTTGCTATAACAATTCTTCTTTATAAATTCGATGAATTGCAAATGATGACAATATTGTAGCATACAATTTCATTTGTATTGCTTATAACGTTTTTTATAAGAACTCCATGTTTGTTCTATAACATCATATGTACCTATTATTACCAATTTTAATAGTTATGTGTATGCATTATATATTCAATAATGAGTAAAGTAAAACTGTAGAAAAGATTCTTTGAGATAAGTTCTATACAAGATATTATAGCCATCATTTTTTCTATTTTCAAATTTTCATTTATATAAGTTTTATATTTAGATTTTCTATTCTTCAATTCGAATTTCGCTCCATTTTGGTCACTGAAAATTAAGGTTATCTCGATAGACAGATTTACACAAGCCTTTATAGGAAAAGTTGGGGCGCTACTATCAGTACTACTTCCCTGCCAATGTGGCCAGATCGGGCATAATTGAGTGCATCGAAATCGACAATAGTGACGACGAACTTCCTTACCGTCTAACGGAATGGTGGGGATAGCATTTCGGGAAAACGATATAGAACACTAGTGTGAGCCTTTCTTTCTTGCTCTTGTAAAAGTCGGCATCCGATTCCAAATCTCGACTGCCCCAGCATTTTTACTTTCCGACTTATGTAAGGTATAAGGAAAATACCATAATGAAAAAAAATTTCGAAAATTTTTTTTAGCTGAAATACACGTTTTAAGACCCTTTGATCATATTGTGACTATTAAAAAAAAAGAAATTTTTTGTGTTCCAATGCTATTAACATGATTGTGTCTAAACGGCTGAATGAATTTCAATGAAATTTTACATTTAAATTTTATGTTCTCGTTTCAAGGTCTGATTAGATTTTGAGCGTGATCAGCTCCCGGATAATGATGATTATACGTCTTATAGTTTTATAATTATTTTGATACATATACATTATTTATAAAAAATTTTTAAAACGATTTATATAAATCTTACTTTCCTTATACCTTACATAGGTCGGAAAGTAAAAATGCCGGGGCAGTCGAGACTTGGAATCGGATGCCGATTATCGCGAGGTCGTATTTCAACTGTTTCTCTTTTACAAGAGCAAGAAGGAAAGGCTCACACTAGCGTTCTCACTATATCGTTTTCCCGAAACTGTGCAAAGTGCCGAGTTCACGTACTTACACGTGGCTCGTGCGGTAGTATATGCTTGTATCCCCACCACTCTGTTAGACGCTAAGGAAGTTCGTCGTCACTATTGTCGATTTCGATGCACTCAATTATGCCCAGTCTGGTCACACTGGTACGATGTAAGGCCGTCATTCGAGTACACACGGATAATTCAATCTAGTAGAACAACGTTCAAAAACCGTCAGCGCCATCTGGTCAAAAGAACAATTGACTCATTTTTTCTGCAGACAAGCCTCATTATGAACAAAAAAAGTCATATGGTTCACATTTTATCTATACATATAAGAGAGGTCTTGCAGACCTAAACCTAACCCAGCAACGAGTTCATAATAGAGATCCCTATTTTACGTGTAGTTAAAATATGCGTGTTGAAATTTGTGTAATAATATTCACATGATGAAGTGGCTCGGCACACGTGTAAACTTTTTTACTAAAAGTAACTCTTGGTTTAAGATGTGTGAATTACTTGATATCGTGGGAGACTTAGACGTGCATTGCACGATTGTGTTTTTCTTTTTTGTGTTTTTAGCAGCATACAAGGTATACCATTTTAACTTGACATTCAGTTTTCGTAGTCATACTGATAATACTGGTCTTGTTTTTTTTTTGTATTTAAAGATTAAACGAAAACAAATCGAAGACTCTTATCTTATTTCTCTTTCCTATCTTTTTATACAAACTGTACGTAAGTATATGGCCGCCATTATATTCTGAAAAACTCCCGAAAAAATATTCTTTGCAATATATTTGGTCTCTCGATAAATATTTGTATCATCATTGATTTAAATATTATTTAGGTGGTCTGGTTTTAAGTGAGACACCCTTCGTACGCGTGACAATTAAATAACCTGTTCCATAAAATGACCAAATTGGTAAAAAAACTGTATCATACGAACGAGCTGTTTTCTCAAATTTCTATCCACGATCGAAGACGCCTTATTTGAGATTGATCAGTACAGGGATGCAAGTGGACGGTTTGTTGGTGCTACACCTGCACCCGAAGATACGACTGCAGAAAGTGTATCAGTGGTGGCCCCTGTACCCGCGTCCTTCTCGTCCCACGTCGTTTATACAGAGCCAGACACGTCTGGTCGGCGTCTGAGCCACTGCGATACGTTGACCTTCATCGAAACTATAGCTCCTATGTCTCCCCCTACCCTGCCCGGCTGGAATTCCGCCGCTAATCGATGGAAGGAAGGTATGCCCCGCATATAATATATATATATATATAACGCGAGCACGGCCGAAGCTCGCGGAAAAGAGACGGATCGACAGACGCGGAGGAGAAGCACTGAGGGTGTGGAGAGGCGGAAAGGGGATCAGAGAGTACAAGTGTGTGACGTAATGGTTCATTCATCCCGAGACCGACGATATCCCGGTCAATGGTGTGCATGCACACGCAGGCACGCATCTGTACATACACGTATCCCAATACACGTGTGTAACGTACAGTTACGGGTGCGACTCGGGTGTTCGTAGGCTGCTTGTCACGTGAAATGCACAGGTGCACGTGGTTGCTCCGTTTGGTTTTACCTCGTTCCTAACCTTCGGTCAGTTTGCACCGTGGCTCTCGAGTTGGGTCGTTCGCGTTTCTGATTTTCACTGATGCGTTGCCGGTGTCAGGTGCCACCTTTTTAGCTTTGCACAGTACCTAGTACCTATATACGAGTAATCTTTTAGAGAGTGATTGTATTATACCAAACTGAGACGAAAGTTAATAATGAAATTATGCGGACTAAATTATTAAAAGTACAAAATGATCGAACGGATCTACTAGACATGACCCATTTTAGACTTTTAATAATAATTTACTTCGTACAATTTCATCGTCATTATTGATATACATATATGTATGTATATCAATGTACATATATGTATACATATGACTTCCAAATGATTAACCCTGGCAATAGCCACTGAGGCAAGGAACGAGTTCAACAATTCTAAATTCGCAGCCATTAGCTCGGTGATTATCTGGAATTCAGATTCCATTTATCTCCCTTTTATATTTTTAGAAACTAGATTACTAAACTAAAGAGATAGAAGAAAGCAAAGTTCCTTTTGTAGCGTTGCCTCCCATGCCCGCCACTAGAGGGGTCGCGCTCTCACAAGCGCTTGGCCGACGCCTCGGTTGTTATATACATATGTATACAATCCTCGACCAACTTCCCAATATCCCAGTCGTCTAAGGCAGGGCCTGCTAGGAAGCCTTACTGATGAGTCCACTAGCAGGCCCGAACGAAACGTGCCCCCCTCATTTCCTTTCCTGTCCTACGAAATTCTTCGAGTTTCTACCCGTAGCAAAGCGCAGCAGCGCCACACTTCACATCCATAGTAACGAAAAACATATACATATGTAAATTGAACGATATCAATTTTTCGTCAACAAATATTCAAAAATAAACGAGTAAGTCTTGCATCAATAAAATGAGAGATGTTGGGATTCAGTTAGGATGGGTCTCCATTCGCAGCAACCTCCTCGTGGTGAGACCTGGGTATGTTATTTAGTGTGTAATTAATAATCGTATTACTCTTAGCTGGGTGATACAATTATTAATTAAAAACTAAATAATATGAGCGAATTGGCTGTGATCCGCCTCGTGTAGTTTCTTTCATAAATGTAGCTTCTTTTCCAAACCAAAATCGATTAGCATTTAGAGCTGGTTATCAGCTAGTTTATAATCAGTTTTTGTCAGCGGAAACCGATCTTCTTAGTGATTCCTGGTGATAACCAGGTACCGGTTTCTCCACGACATCATCCTTCCTAGTGATTACCAATGATAACTACAGTCGTATGCAAAAATTACTGGTCAAGCTTTTTCGACGTATGTTCCAAATGCTGTATTTGAATGTTAACATTTCGTGGTTTGCACTAATAAATGCACATCGGCTAAGCATAGAGTCTATTAACTTCGAAATAGTATCCGATTGAATTTTATTGCATTCGTCCATTGTATTTTTAATTAACTCTATTTTATTTTTACACACGACCTTTTATTTCTTCCCATAAATGCTTTATTGGATTAACACCACTTTTATCGCGGTTTTATTTGTATTTCATTGGTATTTCAACATGTAAACATTCAGATACAGTGTGTTTAATCATAGACATCGTACAGATCAATATACAGAAGTGATCGAAAATTGTTGAAGACGCTGGTTAAACAATTTCATAAATAAATAGTTACAGAAAAGGAAACAAAGTTTGTTTATTGTTTTGTTTCCTTCCATTTACCATACCTGTACGTATTATGATCAAAGTATTATTAAATGTTGATTTGAAAACATAAAGCGAAAAATCTGTGTGACTGGAAACTTTTGCACGCTACTGTAGATACCGGTTCGTCCGCAACTAACAAACTCTAAAATAAACCCC